TGTGTGTGTGTGTGTGTGTGTGTGTGTGTGTGTGAGAGAGAGAGAGAGAGAGAGAGAGAGAGAGAGAGAGAGAGAGAGAGAGAGAGAGAGCAGCGGCTCGGCTTCTCCCCAACAACGAGCGACTAATCCGTTCAAGAGAAGAAACATCCCATAGCGAAAGATCTTATGCGCAGGTCAATCTCGTGGCTTCTCCTGCTTCTCTGAGTGTGCGACGTAGGCGAGCGGCATGACCGGCACTAGGCGGGATGCTTTTGGCGAGATTCTGTGCGACAGCTTCGATGCCCAGAGCGGCACTGCCACTGAACCGTCATCCGAGGGAGGGCGGAGTGTCGGCTTCATCGTAGATGGCGATTGGCTAGAGTACCGCGACGTGGACTTCGGCGGCCGTGCCACGGAGCGATCACAGTCCGCGTGGCATCTGGCGCGTCAGTTGGCATGTCTGGATTTGTGGAGGTGCAGTTGGACAGTTGCACTGCGCCCCCTGCCGCCTCCATCTTTGCACATAACACTGGAGGTTGGCAGTCATGGCAGACAGCTTCCGCCAACCTCTCCGCCTCCGCCCCCATCTCTGGCACGCGCTTCGTCTTCCTCAACTTCCGCAGGGGACAAACGCAAGAATTCGTCAATGTGCGCTTCTTCACGTTCCTCCCCTCCCCATCACCTCCCCCATCTCCAGGTCAAGATGCTTTCGGATCAATTGCCGCAGCCAGCTTCAACTCCCAATCTGGAACGCAAACCGAGCCTAGCTCGGACGGTGGACTTAGCGTCGGCTTCATTGGGAATGCCGACTGGCTGGAGTCCCGCGGAGTGAGCTTTCGCAAACGCACTGCCGATGATTCACAACCGACTGGCTGGAGTCCCGCGGAGTGAGCTTTCGCACACGCACTGCCCGACGATTCACAGCTCGCGTAGCGTCGGGCGCCGGACCTCGCGTGTCGAGACTGGTGGAGGTGAGGCTCGGTGATCCCGGCGCAGCCCCGGTGGGAGTCGTCGGCGCGGCCGACACTAGGGGCTGGCAGTCGTGGCTGAATACTAAGGCGGGGGGACCTCACAAGCCCCGGCTTTGGTATCCAGACTGTGTTTCTCACGTTCTTCAATTGACAGCCGCTCGATTTCATGAACGTCCTGTGCTTCACATTTTCTGAGTGACATGTGGCATCATACAGTGATTAACGATGTGGGGCATAAGGCAAAGAATGCCACGTTGCATGGTGCAACGAATGACACGTGGCAACATGTGTCAAGTGGCTCGAGGCCTGGGGAGGTGGGGAGGAGGGGAGGGAGGGAGAGGTGAGGTGGGGGGGGGGGGGGGGGGGGGGGGCGCAATGAATGACACGTGGAGGGAAGGAAGGTTGAGAAGGAGCACAACCAAAACAGTCGATGGATTAAAAACAAAGGGAAAAAAAAAAGGTCGATGGAACGGAGGAATCCCGCATAGGTGCATAGTAGGATAGATTGAGGAAAGGCCGAGAGAGACAGGCTGGCGTACTTTTTTTTTGTTTTGGAAAAAAAAAGATAAAAAGAAAGGGGAAAACAGTTCAAAGGAAAGGGAAAAAAAAAAAAAAAAGGAAGAGATTGTGTAGAAGGCCACTCGAAACGACCGCACGGGACATTCGTAAATTTTGATTTTTATTATTTATTTATTTGACATTTTGCCATGATTTTGAGGATTTTTCTCTTTTTTTTTTTTTTTTTTTTGTTGGTGCATTTGTTTTGGGAAGTTTTTGGACTATGTTTTTTTTTTGGTTGTGTGTGCGCTTTGTTTTGGGTACTAGTTCATAAAGCCTTTGACGAGGAGATCGGCCGGGAGGGATGACGGAACGATCTTAGACGATGGTTGTGTGCGCAGAACACGCTATGATGATCCTCGTCACACTCGCCATAGTCCGCGTTCGCCATCAGACCTTTTTTTTTTTTTTTTTTTTTT